CCTCGTGTAGCTTTGCGCGAAATTCCAAAAAACAAACAAAACAAACAATCATTCCATCCCGTCAGTAATGACAATCGCGCTAGATGCCAGTCAATTAGTCGACATTGCAAACGGAGGACCCGAGTTCGGCTTACTCGTAATATCGTAAATTATTTAGTCCTGACAACATCTTTACACACGGGAAAGCATTTCAAGGCCTATAAAAACCTTGATGCTTACAAGTATTTTGTGGCCGGCTGGGTGCACGATATCAGACTGTGGAAAGTGTACGAGACGTCCAACTACATAGCTCACTTGAGGTTAAGTGGAAGTTGTTTTTAGTGACTAGGCCTATCGTTTATGTCCTGTCAGTGGTATATTTACAATCTAGATATACTCCTCCTGTCTTTTAAGACAATTTTTTTTCAGTACACATTACCATATATTTTACACAAATAAGTCCTGGATTTTAAGACCACCTGTCTTAAGAAGCCACATTTTTGATAAAACTTTATTATCGCCTACTGGGCCCTTCCACCTAGCACTGCTTGTATGGGCCTATATCATAGTATTTAGATTACGGGAAGCACCAAACATTTACAAGCTACAGATTTTATCAAGAGCTGTGCAGTATAAGTGTGACAAGGTATACAAGTAAGTAGAACTAACTTGATATTAAATGGAAACTGCACAGTCTATGGTATAACTATTGTTTCTAAGCCTTGTCAATGTTATTTGGGTCTGCATGTTTTACTGCCGCCAGAGTTATCGTTTTAGAGGTTTCCAAAAGATCCAGTATGTAGAGTTAAATGGAGTGATTCGTTGTTTGTACAACTAACTGCCGTACACCTGATTGTCATTTCAAATACTTGATCCCAAATTCCAATACCAGCAACTACATTGTTATTACTAGATTGTCTCTCTGTTACGTATTTACTTTTTGGCTTGCCGGTAATGATGCATGACGTCACGAGCATAGGGTCAATAGAGGTGCGAGTGGTTAAAACAGGTGACCCCCGCCAGGCGGCCTTCGGCCCCTTTCGGGGAAACAAGTTAAAGATTCATTTATCGTTGAATATATTCTTTAACATAATGTTCAACATATACACCCTTGTGGCCTTTTATCCATAATCTGGTGGTGTTTTTTTGGTTTGGTTTTTTCTTGGTCATCCATAATTTTAAACAAACTCTGTACATTTTGTACAACCTAGAGCACGTTCCTTAGAAATCTTTGTGTAAAGTATTTCCAACAGATACAAAATTCGACGTGTGTTGCATTATTGTACAAATATTATTGCTGAAGATTTTGCTACATTACCTGCGTTAAGGCAAAGATAAGACACATGGAAGAATAGAACCTTTAACCCTTTCGAGACGGGTCACAGGTGAAAAACAATGTCATCTCATTTGTTGACTCGCATTCAAAATTTTATTGAACTACTATTTCATTCATTTATGTTAATAAGTTCGGTATCCAACTGTGGATTATAATTCAAATTTTAGTACTATATATTACTCAATTTGTTAATTTGAAAGAAGGATATAAAAACACAGATCGATTTTTGTGTGTCACGTGGTATGTTGAATGCATCACTGGTTCAAATTAGATGTTTGTGAAGTCAAAATACTAAGTCTGTAGTTTTGTACGAATTAAGAACTCAAATTTCAGATATTGACAAGCTAGAATATAAAATAAGAAGGTCTTCTCTTTTCTATTTGCTAAGATATTGCTCGCGTAATAAATCAAACACAGTGGAACCCCGCCCACCGCTTTCCAATTTTGGAAACGCTCCCTTGTAAATACTCACTTCTATATATGACATGAATAACCAATCGAAAGCTCAGAATGTCCCCCTAGTAGTTTTCTCAGCCTTTCTAACGTACCTTCCGCCATTTCATTCTTTTGAATTAAAATTTCAAGGAAGTAGGTTGTGTCTTTAGTCTCCTTGAAATTGCATATTTTTTTAGAC